TCCGTGCCTCATGTTCTGGGGAAGTCAAATCAAAGGCAAACCCTGAATTCCTCTTGCTCGCGGCCAATAAAAACCTTGCTTCGGTGCCGGCTTCCTTTGCTGAAATCAGATATCTTAGTAATAAACAAGTCCAAACGGCAGGGAAAAGCTCTCGCTTCTTTCTTCTGATTCATTTTTCTTCCTTAAAAAAAAAATCCTCTCCTCTAACAGGATGCCAGCCCCAGAAACTTGAGCACAGAACGGCCGCCTTCTCCTGCCCTGCACCCCAGCTCCTCCAGAACCTTCCCCCTGGGCGCAGGCAGGGGTGGGAGATGCGGCCGGGCTTCCCGAGCACTGCACGGCTTAGCTCTAAGGCAGGTCGCAGGGGCTCTGGGAGAAGAGGCCTCTCTGCAGCCTGGGGAGAGCTCGTTTCTCAGCCTTTGGCTGCTGGTGGCAGCCAGAAATAAAAACGTGGACTTAAGACAATGTGGGACCCCTTTTTTTCTAAGGCAACACTTCTAAATTCCCCCCAGTGTACCATGGGGCTGTGCAAGCCCAGCAGCGTGGGTTCCAGTGTGGAGTCCACGGTTGGGAAGGCCAGCAAGGCCCATGTGGAGGCCTCGGAGGGCGGCTGGTAGGCAGGAGGCCTCGGGGGTTTTGCTTCTTGGGTCTTTCTTGCCTTTCCACATCCACCCTGTCCCAGGCCCCCCGCCCGGCCTAGTCCAATCCCAGGGCAAATGCAGCTCCGCATGTGACCTGCTGCGAAGGCGTGCCCTCCCCGACGTGCTGACATCTCTCCTCTTCCCTCCCAAATAGGTTTTTAAGTGACTTTGCTGTCAGAAGATGCTATTCTGTTTGTTTTTCCTTCTCACACTATCTCTCCAGAGAGTTTCTGGTCAAGAGAATTATGTCGAGGCTGCAGATTGCAGGAGAATTGTGCCTAATGGGGAACAGACAGACAAGACACCTTTCATGTCCAGCCAAGTTTTTTCTTTTTTTTTTTTTTTTTCGGTCCCTCCTCTTTCTCTCTCTCCCACTTCTCATCTTCCCTTTTTGGCTTAAACGTTGGCCCTAGTTTGTGCTTGTTCCTTCGGTACATCTGGTGAATAAGGTCACACATTGATTTTATTTTGGAGACTGGCAGCTGGGGCAGGCTTAGCTCTGAAGTTGGAGAGCAGCTCGGCTCTTCAGGAGAGCGGGCGGGGGTAGACGCCAGCGCGGAGCTCGCTGGTGTGAACGGAACCATTCCAGAACTCTCTCCAGAACTCAGTAGTGGCTTTTACTCCCTTGTGATCTCAAAGCTCAGGAGCGTGAGCTTATAAAACTTATTCTGAACACAAGAAAGGTGCCAAAAGTTCTTCTCACTGTCCCTACCATGTGCCATTATTTCAGCTGATCTGTGCTGGATTTTATAGGAAAAAAAGTGTTAGTTCTTGGCCGGGCGCAGTGGCTCACGCCTGTAATCCCAGCACTCTGGGAGGCCGAGGTGGGGGGATCGCCCAAGGTCAGGAGTTTGAGACCAGTCTGAGCAAGAGCGAGACCCCGTCTCTAC